GACACATTGCTTTATTTTACATAGAAATAAATATGGCTGGGTTATCTTCTATAAAACTTGAAAGCTTGAGCCTCCATTTTGATTCTATCATTACTTTAGCATAGGTTCCTATCCTTTCATACCTGAATTATCCCAATAGCCTTCAGAATTCTCTGCTTCTTTCTAAGTGATTCTCCTCATCAGTGCTGGTGGCTACTTCTTGGGATGCAGCTCTAATCATCATGCCTGAGATGGTAAGTGGGAACGATACTAGCAAGCCAATGGCCTTATTTTGGTGCCTAGAAGTCTACCTTATATTCCCCCATTATGAATAAGAACAAATTGAGGAAGCATCCAGTGAGGCTTGTTTTTGTAAACTTTTTCCTCCCTTTTTTTAGAAGCCAGAGAGTCTGCTAGATTTGCTATGTGTGTTTTCTGTACCTGTGGAGATCCACCATGCTCATTTTCCCCCTTTAAGGTATTAACAGATTTTATATTTGCATTCCTGTAATAAAACTTCCTGGTTTCATGTCTTTTCCTTTATGTATAATACTTTAGCTCTTTGTGCAGATGTATTTTGTGTTAGAACTGGTAATCACAAGTGAGATTAATTTGTGTTTTTTTTTCTTCCCGTGTAATCTTTAGGTCTCATTCCTTTTCCTGTATCTTGAAATTGAATTAGTCTATTCTCCTTTTATGTATGTCCTGAAATTTTTAATTAATATTTGTAGGAGTGAACCCCACAAAGCTATCCGCCCATGAGGGCGGGGACAAGTAAATTAGAACAGGTAGAGATAAAAGGAAATGAAAGGAAAAAGGACCTCCTCTTTTGGAAGCCAGCCACGCTTCTAGCTTCTAACTCCTAGCTTGTGTGTGACTCTCTCTCTCTGGCAAATACATATATTGTATCCCCTATAGCATCGGCTATCATCATTAAATATTGGAATTATGTGATTAAAAAAGTTTAGTAGAAATCCCTCTCACATACACCGAAATATTTGTGTTTTTTTGCTCCTGATAGAGTAGTTATTTTACCATTTTATTCTATTGCTGGGGTAAATGTTAATTTTTAGAAGTTCATATTTCTTCTTTTGGCCATTGTGTTATAGTAATAGAAACGCTAGGACAAATTTCATTTCACAAATTTAAACATTTATTTCTTATAGTTGTGCAAAGTACTCTTTTAAGATGGACATTTTAAATTAAGGTTGGGAGTGTCTCCTTGGTTAAAGCACTTCCTCTGCAAGGGTAAGGACCTGAGTTTGGGTCTCTGGAACCTGTTCTCTGCCACACAAAGCCGACACAGTAGTCGGTGTCTGTAATCGCTGTGTTCTCATGATGAGATGGGAGAATTCACAGAAGACTGTGGGCCAGGGAGTCTGGCATATACAGTGATGAATATCAGAGGCCTTGTCTCAAACAAGATGGAAAGCAACGGCTAACACTCAGGATGAGCCTGTGACCACACATGCACCCGGCCCATGCACCTCTACTTTCACACACAGACATGTACACACACATGTGATACAATTATTGATATGGTTATCTGACTATTTTCATTGCTTAATTTGTGTTTATACCACTTTTATTGAGTATTACTTAATATTAACAAAATTTTGTCAAGTGCTAACATTTTACTTATATATTGGTTCCGCTGTTTTCTGTTTTTTTTTACTTCATCAGTTTGAATTAATACTTAAAGATTGTATATTTGATGATTCTAAGTACATTAATATAACTATAACACTTGGGACATGAGATGATACTTTTTTTCTGAAAATATATTATACCTTTAAAGAGATGGAACTTCTGGCAAACCTTGCAACCAAGCTAATAATATGCCTTGAGATTATTTAAGACGGAACCTGCTGCCCTACTGTGTGCTCATCCTGTTTTACGTTTAACATGCCTTTAAGAAGCAATGTAACCAACCTTGCTATGCTTTGGATTACCCATGTAATCAGCTTTTACAAGCCCAACTATAACCCAACTATACTTTAATCTTAAGCTGTATGTCTTCCATCCGTCTGACCTAGAAGAATGTATGAATGTTGTGGCAAGCGTTTGCTGAAAGCAGCTACCTTCAATGAAACAAATATTTCATAACATGTGGATAGAGTTTGATAAGATCTGTTTTTTTTTGAGTGTCATTCCGGGTCAGTTGAGGTCAGCAAAGTAAACTCTGTTAGAATCTTCTGCAAAAAGGTATCCTTCATTTCTTTCCCGTACCGAGTTTTCTGTGCTGTTCAATAAATATAGAACAAGGATTGTTCTTAGGGAGAGACACAACACCGCAGACAGTCATAACACACATATTAGGTATAGCAGGTAAACAACAGGTCAGACAGATCTGACGGGCCAGAAACTACAGACTACAGACAGCTGAAGGCATAGGGAAAGAAATGGAGAATTCGAATATGAGTTCTTGGTCAAAGTACTCAAGAGTGAGTTTCTGTTTTCATTCCTTAATGTGACATTGATACATCTTTGTGCCTCTTGATTAATGCATTAATTAATGTAGTGATATAACAATAGAAGAAATAATTCAATATTAAAAATTATTTAACTTTGGATAATATTTAAATATTTTCTATGTAGAAAGAACATTGAATTTCTATATTTTATTAGCCTTGCAGTTTTTGTGTACTTTATCTATTCTTATCATTTTCATCCAACTATGTCAGAGAAAATTTCATGGGGTTGAGATATTCTAGCCATTAGGATTGAGACCAAAAGTATAACAGGTAAGACACATGTAAGTAGTAGTGATAACTACATTGAAAAGAAAGGAGCCTGATATGAGACAGGGAGAGATAGATATTTTATTATTGATACAAATAATTGAAGATAATATGAATAATGACTTATGATAGTGCTGGATTCTTCATAGACATTTTCATCTTTGGTATGATACAGGAAGTGCCACGACAAAATAATATAATGCTTCTCATGGCTTATAGCAGGTATGCCATTATTTCTTAGAAGTGATTCTAAGAAGGAAAACTACAGTACACTAGTGTACATGTGTTTACTGGTGCTTCAAGAGGTACATAGTGGTACATCACAGCTCACTGGAAGGACATTTAATAATCTAATAAAAATTGAAGGACTGGGGAGACGGCTCAGTGGGTGAAGTGCTTGCCATTGTAAGCATGGAGGACTGGTTTGATCTCCAGCACCCAAGTACGTGACAGCGCAGCAGGTGTGAGACTGTAACTACAATTCTGGAGGGGCAGACATGAGAATGTCTGGGGCTTACTGGCCAGCTAGTCTAGCAAAATGGTGAGTTCCAGGTTCAGTGAGAGACCTTGTCTTAAAAATAAAGTGGAGAGTGACATAAGAAGGGGCTGGAGAGATGGTTTATCTGTTAAAAATGTGTCCTGCTCTTCCAGATGACCTGAGATTGGTCCCCAGTGCCCACAGGGGCAAGTGTACCTGCATGCATATGAACACTATTGTAGAACATACGCAGACACAATTTTTGAGATGCTTATTTCATGTCACATTTGATATGATTTCCCCCCAATTTCAGTGGCGTAAGCGAAGTATCCCAAACATAAAATATAAATGAGATAATTTCATGGCTTAAATTCCATTTCTCTTTTTATAGCTCTCTTCTGAGAACTCTATGAATGTATGAAAATTATTTGGCTGTGTGAGCTATGATTGTTCCAATTAATTCCTAACACACACTTGGCTTTTTGTGTCATGGATTTATGTTTACAATAATTTACAAAACCAATAGAAGTATTGAGGTTATAGTCATTGAATTAACTCAGAGTGATTGAAGCCTAATAAGTTAAATGTAGATTAAGGGGACACGGAGAGAGGGAAAGAGAATATAAATTAAGTAAATTTGAAAAATATGACTATTCCTTTATTATTCAAATTAAATTAAAGCCATGAAATGATTTAGTTTGTATTTTGTCTGGGTTATTTTGCTTATTTTACTGAAATTGGAAAAAAATCATACCTAACCTAGAGATAAGCATGTCTGAGAATTTATATTATGTTAACTTTTTATTGGGTTCAAAGCAGTTCAGGCAGAGTGAGATGGGAAGAGGGTAGGGAAACCCACAGGAAGAAAACAGATGCTACAGAATGCAGAAGCAACATCTCACCTATTAGTTCAGCTCAATACAAGCATTTGGAACAACACTGGGCTGTAATGACTCCCCAGCAATTATTTGCAATATTTAATGAGTCCCCAGTAATCATCCTCAGTATTTGTAAGATTTAATTTTGGTGGCCAGAGGCAGCAAAAAGAAAATATCCTCCACTGTATTAACATGAAATCTACTTAGTTAGATCTATTTCTATCTTTTGCAGTACAAGCAACTTACATTTATGTCTAGAGTTTGCTGTTTCTTGTTCACTAGGTCTAATAATCTAATTAGTGCAAAGGGCCAATGGGTGTCTTGTGCAGGAGAAGGGCAACCAAGTGAACACAGGGCTGGAGAGCTGACATGCCCAGGTGGGTATGAGGCTGATTGTTTTGGGTGATCTTGGCTAACAACTATCAAAAAAACAAAAACAAAAACAAAACATCTTTCCTGTCTGAGGGAGCTAGCGCTACATTTCTGAGGAAGCAGTAATGACTACCATGGAGGCAGCTGTCAAGCAAGACAGTGCTGTTTATTCTCAGGACAGTTCCCCAAAGGCTTTGAGGGCTGCTCCCACTGGGCATGGAGAACCAGCTGCCTTCTGCAGTCAAAGACCATTCTTCAGAATTCAGGGACTCATTTCCTCACCTTCCTCAGAGTTTTCACACTTGTTCCCACCTAAATTTAGAGTCTCTTGTTCTTTTCCAGCATTAGTCCTTCCATGGGCTAGGAGTTCAACTGGAGCTGTAATTCAGTTGAAGAACGCCTCCTACTTTAAATCAAGTTCAACCCTCAGCTGCCTGATATAGGGAATCACAGAGATCTTAGGTAATTTATAGTGCACTTAAGACGGGATTCGAATCCATGAGCTCATCTTTATCTTTTGCCACTTTGTCAGGCAGTAGTAGAAGCCACCAGCTAACCTTCTTAAAAGCCAGGTTTTGCATCAGTGTCCCGCAAGTATACAGAGTCCATAGAATGTATGGCAGTTTTATGAGAGATTTATTAGGTTGACTTACATACCCGTAGATTGGATAGCCTCATAATAGGTACCTGCAGTCTGGTGAAAGGGGAAAACAATATTTTCTCAGTCTAAAGCTGCAAGACATAGAATAAGAGGGACACGTTATACAACCCCATTCTGAGACTGAAGACCCAGATCCCTTGGTAAGTCACTGGTAGTGTGAGTCCGTGTCTAAAGGCTGAGGAATCAGAGTCTGGTGGCTGGAGGATATCAACAGCAACATCTGCACCTGCTCAAGAAGAGCCCAGCCTGTGCCCATGTGGGAGCTCTGCTCACGGCTTTTCATTCGAACAGGGCTCTCAGCCTATTGGTTGCTGCCATCCATATTCAGGGTAAGTCTTCCCTTTAGGTCACTGAGGTCAAGGTAATTGTTCTGTATCTAAAGGAATTTACCCATCTCCAGCAGGAACTTCATGGTGCTGGCATCCTCATTCTTCACTGCCTGCTAGGTAGATGGCAATCTCCACAGGCAGGTAGGAGTACAAAAACTGCTTTGTACTTGACAATAAATTTGTACCCCTTTCAGTGTCTCCACTGAGATCTATATGGCCATGGGGTGCTGCGATGAGGTGCAGAGTCTACCCAGTTTCAGTCTGATAGGAACTCTGCAGAAAGACCTCCAGCAGGTCCAGACAGAACTTCAGCAACTTCTGGAAGTAGAGCATTGTTTATGGCATCCAATAATGCCTGGATTCTGATAATCAGTGGATCTATGTTGTTCATCTATAACAAGGAAGGAAGCCTGGAGCCGTTCCATGTATCAGCCTGCAGTCACAGTCCACGGAAGACTCTCATCATACTATTTCATTGGCTTTACCAGCTGTAGTTGGTTTTCTATTTTTACTTTTTGGGGATCTGCCATCCAGATCCCAAATAAATACATGGAGACTTATTCTAACTTATGAATGCCTGGACCTTATCTTGGCTTGTTTCTAGCCAGCTTTCCCAACTTAAATTATGCTGTTTCTTCTTAACTATGTTTTACCTCTGGGCTTTTACTATATATCTTTCTTTCCTTCTTACTCCATGGCTGGCTGTGTGGTTGGCTCCTGGCACCCTCCTATCCTCGTTTTCTTGCTCTTTCCTCTTCTATCAAGTTTAGATTTTTTCCTCCTATTTATACTCTCTCCCTGGCAACCCCACCTGTTTCTCTCTCCTGACGAGTTATTGGCCATTCAGCTCTTTATTAGACCATCAGGTGTTTTAGACAGGCACAGTAACACAGCTTTACAGAGTTAAACAAATGCAATGTAAAAGAATGCAACACATCTTTGTATTATTAAACTAATATTCTACAACAATTTGCTGCCTATAGCACTGTACTCTAGGACAGTGCCATAAACTTCTATTGATCTTCAATCTAGAACTCCTGACTTCTTTTAGCAAGGTAATAGCATCTTCTGTCTCTGGGTGTCCTAGCTCATCTTTAATCAGCACCTTGACCATCTAAGAAAAGTGCTTGATGAAAGTCTGCCATTCATGGATCCAAACATCCAATTTATAGTTTCTGTTCATTCAGAGAGAGGAGCAACATGTACTGTTCCTGGATGTAGGTTTTAAAGAGGAGACACTGAATGGCTTTTAGAGATGCCATCTCAGGGATGGAATGGGAACATGTTTGAGGCATTCTAGGGGCAGATACCTGAGTGACTTGTTATACAACAAACTCAAGACCTTTGATATCCAAAAGGATGGTTGAATTTGATATGGAATGATGTGGACAGTAAGAGATGTTCTGAGGCTGAGGAAGCCACATAGACAAGTGGGCACAATGGGTTCTATGTAGTTGTAAAACCGAAGGAATATGACTTGCATCATCATATGAGGTGGTCCATTTAGGATGCACAGAGGACAGCTCAGTCTCTGTCTTGAAGATTTCCTCCGGGCAGAGTTTGCAGACTTAGGATAACAAACATATATAATTATATTCCTGAATCTAGGTACAGGAGATACTGTTTCTTCAGGGACTCTGAAAGTTAAATGGGCAACTCAGTCTCAGCGTGAAAGTACCATTAAAAGAGCTGGGAAGTTCTCTAACATTTCTTAAATGCCTTGAGCTAGGTTCATGGCCTTTATATTCCTAAAACTGAAACTTGAAAGAGAGAAAGAATGAATGAGTGAATTGTCCCCAAGGTTTGGGTTCAGAGGAGAGGCTGAAATCTTTGCAAGTAATTAGTAGAAATTTTCTTATGACACACCGAGTTTATGCATACATACTGACTGTTTACAAAATAGGTTCTTAATTCCTCCACAGAATAGAAGACTATCCACTTAAGCTAAAAGTACACAGATTTATATACTGAGATAAAGTAATTGGCCTGTCAGAGAAGGAAGAAAATTGTGCAAATGTTATGACCCTAAGAACATTTTGTCTAAAACAAGGCATCTGTTTTTCATTTGTCTTTTGTTTGAAATTGGCAGCAAATGAGTATTCATTTAGAAAATTATCCTCAATGAGTCTCAGGGCATCCTTCTCTTTTGCATTTCCACTTATTTTTGTAAGAAAATATTTTTAAATTTCTATTTTCATCTGCTCTGTGTGTATTTTGCCTAGTTGCCGGCAGGTAAAAGTGAGTATCAGAGGACTAAGAACGTACTTAAGAAAGTATGTAGAGATAAACATGAAGAACATTTTTGGTTGTATGTGGACACTGTCTTTCTGTCTTTCTGGAAGGGACACTTGGTTTCTCACAAACCATCCTCACTGTGTATATCAACTGCTGCTTGATATATAGCAGCATGGGTTAAGTCGTTTCTTGTTTGATTTTTTTTTCCTTGAAGACATTAGTCCTGAGTGGGCTGGTATTCTCTATGTAGTACAGGCTGGCTGATCAAATTTCATGCGCACACAGGAAGTGAAGAGATTGAGCAGGAAATGGGGTGAGTCTATAAGCCACCAAATCCTGCTCCCCAGTAATATACTTCCTTTAGAAAGGTTATACCTCCTCAGGGCTACATAACCTCCCACCCCAGCATCACCACTAAAGGGGGACCCAATGTTCAAATACATGAGAGACATTTCTCATTAAAACCGCATATGTTCTCTTTCCCTTTCATGCCCCTCCCTCAGCCATAGGTAATGGTCAGCCAATACCTCCCTCTCATCTTCTCTTTTATCCAAGTCACTTGCCAAATCAGAGGCTGATATGCAGGCTGCTTGTTTTATGCTTCTTTCTTATTGTAATTTCCCCCCATGAAACACAGTTGCAAATCTTATATATAATACTGACTACACAACTGCAATGAGAGATTGCTCCACAGTTTTGTCCAATGCTTACTACTCCCAGGGACTGCCATGAATTCTCTAGTCCTTTAACCATTTTCAGGGTGTCCCCATATTCATGCACGGGCCCTCTACTCATCAAGGAAGCATGACACTTGTCTTAGTGTTTTTTCCCCGTTGCTGTGATAAAATACTAAGACAACTTAAGGGAGCAAAGGTCTATTTCATCTCCTGGCTCGGGGTACAGTCCATTATGGTGGGAAAGTTAAGGCAACAATTGCTTGAAGCAACTGGTCCCATTATATCGGCACTCAGAAGAACCAATCAGTGAATGTATTCATACCAGCATTCATTGTGCCCCTTCATTTTATTCAATCCAACATCATAGACAGGGAGTCGTATACGTTTTCCTCGTTCACTTAACCAAGATAATCTCTCACAAGCATCTAGAGGCCCATCTCCCCGGTGATTCTATAGTCTGCCAAATTAAGGCCAACTATTGTACTACTCCATACAACAAAGAGGAATGTGATATCTTGCTTGGACAAATAAAGCCTGACCGAAAGTGAAAGAGTGGAGCTTGCCACTAGCTAACCATAAAGGTCTGGAGGTCTGTACAGACAGACAGGAAGTGAGATAGCTGGGGTGGAAACAGGATATAATCAGGGAGAACCATAACTCTTGCCTGCTGAGACGCTTAGGAGCTAAGGAGTGGCTGTGGCGTGTTCCTGCTTCTCCGTGATCTCTTAGTATTCTACAGAGATATATTCCAAATGGATAGGTAGTCTTCAAAACCTTTCAAAGATCTACCGACATTTAAAATGGTTTTTCATGACAATGAGACACAATGCTCCTGGCAACACCAATTATGAAGTAACTCATTATGGAGTTTGCCGTTAATGGGGCAAAAATGGCCTATTGGACAAAGAACTGCCCTCGGCTCAACTGCTGACAGTAAGCACGCTGTCCAAACTGGACAAGCAGGTTACAAAGGAAAGTGACTGCTGAACTTCCCAAGAGACAGGATGGTCCTTCAGGGTTCCTGCTTCACAGAAGAAAGCAACTGACAAACTTTGCCAATACAAGACAGAACAGATCTTCAAATTTCCTACTTCATTAAAATGTCTGCTAGACACATTGACATATGGGGTGAAGATGGATGCCCCAATGTTACAGAGAAACTTTGGGAGACTATCCAAGCAGCGAGATGTCTCTGTCAGTTCTCGAGTTTATTTATTATCCTTCTTGGGTCTTTGATGGAGTTAAAGATAGATACTTATGGTTATGGTTTTCCTTTCTTATGATAAAAGATAAGTTACATATAAAACTTTAGACTCACAAAGATAGGATAGATGATAGAATATTTTCTTTAAATTTTGCCAAATGTTAGTGGACTAAATATTATTAACTATACTTGCTTGACAACTGTTCTGTTGTATAAAATTTTACTATGTTAAAGTTAAAACTTTCCTTTTTATTTAGACAGAAAAGAGGAAATGATGGGAGATGTCCTTCTATATACTGTGAATATGTTTCTATTATTGGTTGATGAATAAAGCTGTTTCAGCCAATGGACAGGCAGAATATAGCCAGGAAGGAAGTTTAGGTTGGGCTACTACACTAGGAGACTTCTGGGAGGAAGATCATAGAGAGTGAGTCAAAAGAGAAATGCCATGTAGTTGCCAAGGAAGGAAGAGACCCAGGCATCACTGGTAAGCCTAGACCACATGGAAATACACAGATTAATAGATATGGGTTAATATTTAAGAGAGAGCTAGCCAATAAGAAGCCTGAGCCATAGGCTCAGTTTATAATTAAGATAAGCCTCTGTGTGTTTATTTGGGATTGAACTGCTGCAGGACTGGGTGGGACAGAAACCTCTGCCTACAGAGGAAGATGCCCACTTTGGGATACTCTCTAAGGATATTTTGTTACAGACAGATTAGCCTTGGTTACATGTACTGTCATCCATCTCAGGGAGTACATAACCACAACTACAGCAAGTAGATGCACTATCCCATACCACATAGGAAAGGTATTTGTAGGGAAAAGGGACCAGTTAAAGAAACACACCCTGAGCAGAGCCAAAGAAACACACTTTGGCCCTGC